CAACAGTTTTTCAAAAACTTTATTGTAGTGGATCTTAGGCACAATTTTGTTGCACAACATCGATTGTTAGTTCTTAAAACAATATTTAACAGTACCCGGCAATGGGCAATCTCATTTACAATGATAAATACCCGGTCGTTTGAAGATAATTTTCAAAAGTTTGTAATACATTTTTCTTCAAATTGATGGACGATCCACATTTTTTGGCACTTAAACTGCTTTAGTGTGTATAATTGGGTGTGTACTCTAATTGGAAATTTAAATGAAGGCGAAACTCGAATAGGCACTTAGTACATGCGCACCCTTAATCTAGTATTTGCAGTATCTGCAGCTTCTCCCTTGATAGTTTGTTGATTCATTGTTATCAGCGTTATAAAATAAACTGCACCGAACACAATGATATTACATTCAGTAATTGATAAATCAAAATCACTGTCAGTTTAATAACACAATGTGGATTTGAAAAGTTTATCAGACCTACAGATGCACCCGCACTAAGAGAAAAATGTCGAATTCAAAGTGCATATGTGCGTCCCAAGCCTCAGGCCGTTACGGCTCGCCCTGACCGAGAAAAATCGGTTCACCCTCCAATAAAAAGTTATCACTTCAAAAATCTCGGTTTATGTTACAAATTGAACAAGTTTCAACACTGTTTGATGTACATGTAGATCCGAAAATAGCAATTGAAAGAGGGCTGTAATTTTTTCATCAACCTCTACAGGATGGTTTAGTTTCCAGAGCGGACACTTCAGCAGCAGATAAAGATGCGAAAAATAATCAGAGTTTGCATTATATTATATACTCGAAAAACGCTTCGTTGGGAAATGCGGGGTGCTTATGTGTGGCTTAAAAAAATGAATCAAAAAATCACATTCTTCAACCAGTTTCAAAGCAAAAATTATCGTTTTTTATTCAATTTCTCTGTGCAAAAATAAAAAATAGTCACAAATTTAATCGGTGCKGCATCACAACAAAAATTWAAGAAATTGTGCGCAACGCAGTCCACCGAGCTCAATACATCTGCGACATCGTCTGACTGAAAGTTGGAGCAGAATRAAATTGGTATTTTGMACGGGCCCCAAACGTTTCAAAAAATYCAGTGGCTTAAGATCCGGTGATTTGGGTGGCCATTTCCATTTACCACATTTTCATTTCTTTCATTCGTTACTGGTGCAATTGCGATGGGTAACTTTTTACTTGAGAATGCTAAGTTGTACGGAGAAATGGAAAGAAACTTATTTCTTTCAAGCTTAATGAAGAATCGCGCAGTCATTTTTRTTTTGTGAAAAAACCAGTCGCTTATAACTTKTCTCTTCAAAAACACCCATTAACATATTGRATGCTACTGACGAAGCAAAAAAATGAGCTTTTAAGGCAAAATGTGCTCCTTAGTTATCGCCYACGAAATTTCGTTTAAATAGCCATRGTTTMMATAWTGRCAACAATCAAYCAAGTTGATTTTTTAAGTCAAACTTAAAGACTCTRTATTTCCTTAGCGAAGAGTTTCTCCATAAYAGTTCCAATAATCAAATTGCTAKAGTTTTTCGATTCTTATTATTGGACCGCAGGCGGAATCTTTAAGACCACTATTTTCYTAGGAATGCATRGACAATRATTTATTTTYGRTTTCGGACAASCAAATGAACGATGAACAAAGCGAAGTTGTGTCGAGATGAATGCATCGGCGTCACTGTAAAGTTGCAACATTCTGCAGCAGCAGGAGCGCCAAACGGCACTGAAGTACAATAATTGGCAGAAGTTCAGGGAACGTAATTGAATGCCGGTGATTACGGAATGATGCGAGGCCGTGTAATCATGCCGAAACGGCCTTCCACAAATTTGCACCACTCGGTCTTACATCCACTAATTTGGATCCACAGTGTGTTTCCTAATACACAACTTAAAGTTGGCATGGGCCCAGCAACTGTTGCTGTCGATCGTCGCTAAGTTTCCTAATTAAACTTGGCCTCTATGGGTCGCCTTGTATGAGCACCAACGTAAAAAACTGCCGATAAAATATCGATACCAGCAGCAGGCGCACAGCGACCAAATTGTATATCAAACGATTCGTAAAATAGCGAGCACATTTAAACCAACAACAACAACAAATTCTCTTTTCGTTCGGGACCTTTTTGCTTTCGAATAACCGAATCGTCAGCGCTGCAATCCTTTTTTGATCAGCAGCACGTTAAAGTCGATTTACCGCCGACGTCCAGAGAATTCTTAAAACGGTCCGTCATCTTTTTCCGTCTTTTCAGTTTAACTAAAGCGGGTCAATCCTCGAAGGTATGATTTGCCCGATAAGGACCCGAATGCTCTGGATAGTAATATGGAGCCTTGATTGGCATTTGCCCGCATGATGGATGATGTGTTTGGAATGGACAAGAACTTGTTGTAAATGCATAAATCAATAGATCCATGGGCGTTTTTTCTGTTGCATTCTCCGGACGATTTACTCGGCGAGGTGAATAATGAAACCAGCATCAGTGTAGATAAAAGGAAGAAGGAATGGATAAGTTTGCAGACTTCTCCTTGAAAACGAATAAAAGGGGCAGCGGATATTGTTTCCTTGTGGCCCTCTCGAATGGCTTTTGACCGACGATCTGGAACGGTTTCCACGTCTTCGATTTTTACGATACGTTTTTATTTTCGAAAAACACGAAAGGGATTGAATTTATATTGGACGAATTATCGGAATCCATGCACTTTCCACTTTGTTTTCAGAAGGTAAAAGCCATGTTTGCTTTGTTTCATAAATGGGGTTTTCTTCACCGACTCTTGTCTGTTTTTCCATTAGTGTGTTGCTTCCACTCTGAACTCGCGAGGATAGCAGGTTAAACTATTGGAAGATTCTCAGTGAGTCCAGTCTTTTTTTCATTTTCAGCTCAAATACGGAACTCATCTGTCGGAAGTAATGAGGAAAATCCTTTAGCTGATCCGGACTGGCGTGCGTTCTTGAACTATGGCTCTAACTAAARCAGTTYGTTTACACA